GAGCTGGGGATAGAACCCAGGAGTCCTGGCGCCCAGCCCCCTGCTCTCACCACTAGCCCCCACTCCCCTCCCAGAGCTGGGGTATAACCCAGCCGTCCTGGCTCCCAGAGACTAACCAGTAGACCTCACACCTTGAAGAACCGGGAATAGAACCTAGGTCTCCTGAATATTATGGACTGGCCCACACAGCTATCCATGGGCCGTGTTACTAGGTCAGACGATGGTGGAACCGTAGCTTTGCTAGGGCTGGTCAGTGGGAGAGGGGCGGCTCCTCGGCCCAGCCCCGGGACGACCAGCTCCAGAGAGCAGCGGGCGAGCGTTAAAGGCCACGAGGCAGGTTCTGTACCTGAGGAGAACGGCACGAAGGCGTCGTTCTTCTTAAAGCGGCCGTTCTCGTCCAGGAAATGCCCCGGGTTGAATTCTTCTGGGTGGCTGAAGTATTTCGCGTCCCGTAGGACAGAGCCCAGTAAGGGGAACACGTTGGTGCCCTGGGGAAATGGAGACGAGAGAGGTAAGAATTAAATACACCTGTATCTCTTCCAACCTCAACCTCCACCCACCCATAGGAGATATCCCGAGAGTGCCCATGAGAGCCGCTAGTCCGGAGATCACTATGGGGCATATCGTTTTATCTGAGTAAACGAGACATAAAGACAGTCTGGGATTCCCCCGACCCTGGTGTCCTGAGTCTCTGTAATCGCCGCAGTGGTGCCAGCGGTGGGATACATACCCACGCCTCCTTTGGCGAGACTGGAGGGTTCCGTAAAATCTTGACCCACGGCTGATGGTTGGGGCAGTCGGTCCCTTCCTCCGTGGGGCTGTTTATTCTCGGTTTTGGCGGATCGTTTATTGCTGTGACGCCGTTCTTGGGGGAAGTTTGTGTCGCCAGAAAGGGGGACGGATGTTTGCACCCACTGTCACTTTCTAGTCCCTACGGTTCTGGGGCGGTTCAGACAACCGGCGCTCAGCCCCAAACCACCTTTCCCTTTGCAAAAGCAACCCCTAAACCCGGGAGGTTTCGCGATTTCAACCCTGCCCGTTTGCCCCCCGGCCCCGCACCTTGGGGAGGGTGTACCCCCGGAACTGGGTGTCCCGGATCACGGTGTGCGGCACCCCCATGGGCACGATATCCGTCACCCTCTGGATCTCATGGATCACCGCATCCGTGTAGGGCATCTTCATCCGGTCCTCGCAGGCGGGGATGCGGTTGCGGCCGATGACGTGGTCGATTTCCTGGTGCACTTTTTCTGTGGAGAGGCCGGCAGAGCTCTGCGGGAACCGCGCGGGCACCACAGCCCCCAGGCCATGCGGGAGAGCGGCAGGGCCTCACGGCACTAAAGCCCCACCAATCCCGACGGGGCTGACCTGCGGAACGGCCTGCTGCCACGGGGGACTTCTACTGGCGCTGGCCACTGAAGCAATTAATAGTTAGAGAAAGAGCCGGGCACAGGGGAGGGAGAGGTCGCCAGTTGCCACCAGCGAGATTTCTGGGGCAGCCCAGGGCAGCGGTTGCAGATTTCGGTGGGGCTAACAGGGTGCGGGTCAGGGGGGTGTATTTGGGGCAGCGGCAGCCAACCCTGGCTGACGGAGCCCCCAACCTGCAGGTTTATCGGCCATGTCCATGGGTCGGGCGCTAGCAGTCACTGGAATCCCACTGCAAAGGGCTGGAACGAGTGCGTGCGAGTTTGCGTGTGACCCACACTAACCCGTCGAGCGGCCGGTCCTTTAGCAGAGGCAGTTTTTAGAGAGAGAGAGTTCTACGCAGAGAGAACTCACCAAGGGCCTCATTAGATGCACATTAGTGGGTCTGAACGCCACTGCCCTCTGCAGGGTGGGAATGAACTGCCTATGTGCCATAGCCCCTACACTGCAGTTAATGGAGATTCTCCTTATCAAGTGATAGGGGCCTGGGCAGAAGGATCTGGGTTTCATCCCTGCAGCCGATCACAAAAGCTCCAGGTAGCTCATGGAAACTCACATCCCACTCACTAAACGATCCAGCCTTTTCCTTCCTTTACCTTCGACTTCCGGGTGCTTCATGAGGAAGAGGAACCCGTAGCGCAGGGTGGAGCTGACGGTCTCCGTGCCGGCGAAGAACAAGTTGAGCGTGGTGAGCACCAAGTT